CAGGAAAGGCAGGAGGGGAGCAGAGCGGAAGAGGAGATAAAAGAGGAGGAGAACTGAGAGCAGGATGAGAAAATAGATGGAGAGAAGAGCAGAAGAGCTGCAGGAGGGGACACACGTGGGGCTGGTGGAGGAGGAGAAGGGGAAGAGAAGGGACACAACCCAGGGAGGAGAGGAGGGGATGCAGGAAGGACCAGGAGCAGGAGAGGGAAAGAAGGGATGGAACCCTTATATTGGAGCAGTGGGAGAGCAGGAGAGCTGAGAGGAAGATGAGGAGATGCAGATGGAGAGGAGAGCAGCAGAGGAGGACACATGGGGCAGGAGGAGGAGGAGGAGAGCAGAAGGGGAAAAGAAGGGACACAACCCAGAGAGAAGTGAGGATGCAGGAAGGACCAGGAGCAGAAGAGGAAAAGAGGATAAAGGAAATATGGAAGAGGAGGGGAGGAGGTGACAGGAGGATGGGGAGATAAAGAAGAGCAGCAGAGGAGATGTGTGGGTGAAGGAGGGGAACAGGAAAAGAAGAGAAAGGAAATAACCCAGAAAGAGGAGGAGAGGACAGGAGACAGAAGAGGAGGAGAGCAGCGCAGGAGGACGTGGGGCAGATGAAGGAGAAGGAAAAGAAAAGATGCAGGAAGGAGAGAAGGGGAGCAGAGTGGAAGAGGAGGAGAGAGAAGGAAGAAGAGGAGGAGAGCTGAGAGGAAGATGAGGAGAAACAGGGAAGAGCTACAGGGCAGCAGAAGAGGACACAATTTGGGCAGATGGAGGAGAAAAGAAATAATGAAAGTAAGAAAGAGCAGAAGGGAAGAGAGGATGCAGGAAAGAAAGGAGTGGAAGAGGAGGAGATGAGGAGCTACAGACGGAGAGGAGAGCAGCAGAGGAGGACAGACATGGGGCAGATGAGGGAGGAGAGCAGAAGGGGAAAAGAAGGGACACCACCCAGATTGAGGAGAGGAAGAGGAGAAGTGAGGATGCAGGAAGGACAGAAGAGGAGCAGAGTGGCGAGGAGTCGCTCCAGGACGGACAGCAGGGAGGAGAAAGAGAGAGGAAGAGGTTCAGAGGGAAAAGCAGAGGGCAGCAGGCAGACCTCCATGACGAACTGCCCTGAGTACGTCCCGGTCATGGTGGAGCTCTGCCCAGCCGCCAGGATCCCGATGGCCCAAATGTACAGAGCTGCTGGGCCGAAGTAACAGCCCAGCACTGCGCCCTGCAACACACGGACAGCAGGCTGCTGACATGGGGCCTTCCAGGACCCTCCATCCCAGCCATCCCATGGCTCTGTGACCTTCCAGGACCTTCCCATCCCAACCGTCCCATGCCTCTGTGATCTTCCAGGACCCTTCCATCCCGACCATCCCATGGCTCTGTGATCTTCCAGGACCCTTCCATCCCAACTATCCCACGGCTCTGTGATCTTCCAGGACCTTTCCATCCCGACCGTCCCATGGTTCTGTGATCTTCCAGGACCCTTCCATCCCAGCCATCCCATGGTTCTGTGATCTTCCAGGACCCTTCCATCCCAGCCATCCCACGGCTCTGTGACCTTCCAGGACCCTCCATCCCAACCGTCCCACAGCTCTGTGATCTTCCAGGACCTTTCCATCCCGACCGTCCCATGACTCTGTGACCTTCCAGGACCCTTCCATCCCAGCCATCCCATGGTTCTGTGACCTTCCAGGACCCTTTCATTCCAACCATCCTACAGCTCTATGATCTGCAAGGACCCTCCAAACCCAACCACCTCATGGTGCTATGACCTTCCAGGACCCTTCCATCCCAACCGTCCCACAGCTCTGTGACCTTCCAGGACCCTTCCATCCCAACAAGCTCCTCAATCTTTTAGCACCCTTCCAACCCAACCATCCCACAGTTCTGTGATCTTCAAAGACCCGTCCAGCTATCAGCACTGGGGGTTGTTATCAGCTGGGGGCTGTTATCAGCTGGGGGCTGTGCTATCAGCACTGGGGGCTGTGCTATCAGAACTGGGGGCTGCTATCAGCACTGGGGGCTGTGTTATCACCTGGGGGCTGTTATCAGAACTGGGGGCTGTTATCACCTGGGGGCTGTTATCAGAGCTGGGGGCTGTGCTATCAGAGCTGGGGGCTGTTATCAAAACTGGGGGCTG